GTATAAATTTGTAAATGATTATTAAACACCAAAAAATAAAAACAAAGTATAGTGTCTTATTTATTGCAAATTCTATTGATTGGTCAATTTTTGTCTATAATTATGTGTGTGTCTGTCCTTTTTCAGGTTGTACCTCTGTCATTAGAAGGTAGAATTTCAAATAACTTGGCACAAATGTTCACAATAATGAGATGGCATGTTGTCCACAAGAACCATGTGGCTAGGTCAAAGGTCAAGGTCTTACTTTAAGGTCAAATGCAGAAATGAAAATGATGTCAAAACAGCTTGTCTGTACCATAACTCTTATCACTATAGCTGGTGTAATTTTAAATAACCTGGTATCAATGTTCAGCATCACACGCACAAGAACCGTTTGACTAAGCTAAAGGTCATACCTCAAGGTGAGATGTGACAGCTTGCCCGCACAATAACTCATTGGTGGAAGAATTTGAAATTATTTTGGCATAAAATGCCAAATAGGAAATCCCCTATTAAATGATTCTGTAAAAGAACAGACAACATATTTTGTTTCCAACTTCACTTCTTCCTCCCAGCGTCCAGGTTGACAAAAATCTTAAATGGAAAACACAAATTCAAAATACTATTAAAAAATGCAATTCACAGCTCTAAAATTGCTTCTTTGAATCAAACAGTACCTTGATCTCCACTCAAGAAAACTCTTTTTTAATGCATATATTCTGCCACATATTGACTACTGTTGCATTATTTCGGGAAACTTTCACAAATTGTCAACTTTCAAAAAAAAGCTGCAAGAATTATTTCAGATAAAAGTTTTGATACCCCATTAAATGTTCTATTTAATGAATTACATTGGATGTCCTTTGACCAAATAATTATGTATAAAAAGGCAATATTCATGTATAAATGAACCATCCTTTCCTGTTTATATGAAAAATAAATTCCAAACAGTAAATGACAAACATGACTTTAACTTAAGATCTATACAAAATGAAAAAGCAAAAAAAAACAGAATTTTTTAGAAAATCATTTAATTACTTTGGTCCTGTGGTATGAGCCAACATACCAATACATATTCGAAATTCTGATACCCTGAGGAAATTTCAAGCCTCCTATATCCAGTGGCAATTTTCTAACTAATTGTTTCCAAAAACAATAATTTAATGTACAATATAAAAAGTATAATAAAAACTGTTAATAGAACAGGCCTATAAATGTCTAATTCTTCAACATTGGTACTTTCCATGCTGAAGTGAAGTTATGAAATGTCACTTCTCTATGTAAGAAGAAAAAAAAATTGTTTCCTTATTTATTGTATTGATATGATGTTTAATGTACATATTTATGTTGTCTAAATGTTGATTGTGATTGTATTTTATGTTGTTTTGTATATACTGAGGCCCGCATGGAAGAGGGGGGTAGCCTCATTAAATAAAGTTGTTACTTACTTACTTAACTTTGTTTATAGCAAGCTTATGTGAAGACCACGATTAGTATTGCATTTGGACCCCCTGAGGTCAAGGTCACCATTACTAAAAATAGAAAATGGTTTTCAGACAATAACTAAAGTTAGGTATCAAACTTGGTATAAAGCAAGCTTGGGAAACAGACAAAAGCCCTCCCGAACAAAAGCCCTCCGGTCAAAAAATGACAAGACGGACAAAAGCCCTCCCGTGAAAATGACAGGGCGGACAAAAGCCCTCTCTTGAAAATAACAGGGTGTACAAAAGCCCTCCCATGAAAATGACTTGGCGGACAAATGCCCTCCCGTTATAAAAAAAGGGAGGGCTTTTGTCCTACACTCAGCAAGCTTATATAATATGAAGACCTTGTCAGGTATTACATAATTTATGATATATAAATACAAAACTGGCAGATACTTACTTAGCTCATATTGCTAACATACTCTCCCCTTCCCTATAAGCTATCAATATTCCAAATCGAGCCAATTGCCTATAAATCTTAAATTTTGCAACATGCCTTCAGAAATATCTGGCTAGAACCCTGGATGGGTAAGGCCATACTTGTTGATCAAAAGTGGTATGAACTTTTGTAAAAGAACACTGATGTTTTAGTTTGGTCAACAATTCTTTGATTTCTGGATGGATTAAAAAATTGTTTTGGATAAATATGTTGCATATAATGATAAATGTGTTAAACATTAGGGGTGTTATCTGTTAAAACGGGTATGGACGTTTTTTTTTGCTAAAATCGGTTAGAAAATTCAATAAACGGTAACCGTTAGTATTTGACTAACGGGCAGAGAAGTTTTAAATTGATTCTAAATATCACCTAAGTTTTTTATGACAAGATATGACTATTGTTTGTATTTTAGTTGTACTTAACAATGTATTTTTTGTCCGATCTGATGGAATATGATACAACCCTAGTGGAAAGTAGTTACTCCATATTCGGATATATGATTGTATTGTTATCATTTTGAGTACAACAAAATATGAACAAAATGGCATATTTTGTCATAGAGAAACAAAGTTAATGTTGAAAATCTTTTATTAGTATGGTTGGTTAAAGGTTTAAACGGTTGGCATTTTGTTTTTAACTGTGACACACCTATTGGACATAATGACGACAAGCATGAATCAGGTCCCTTCCTCAAAGGTCAAGATCACATTCCAAAGTCATGATTATGAAGTTTTTCATAAAGTGTATTGATGGTTGTGTCCAGTGAACAATTTTGTCATTCCTTGTATATCAAAAGTGATTATCTTCTTTCAGGCACAGCTTTGTCATTCATGACTTATTTGCATCCAAAGGTCAAGGTTTATTATCAACACTAAGAAAAGCTCTTCTTGCATTTACTGACCAGTACAAATACTAGTAGTACTGACAATAATAGAATAAGTACAGGTGTAATAAGAATTTAATATTTGTCACATACTAAGCACTGACAATAAATAAATTTAATAATTAACAGAGAATTGTTTCTTGATGGTTCATTAGAATTTAATATTTGTCACATACTAATAGCTCTGACAATAAATGAATTTAATAATTAAGATGAAATTGTTTTATCATGGTTAATGTTGCAACATGTTGTTACTTACATTTTTAACCAGGTTTTCCAAAGGAAAAAACTGGTTATTAGATTGAGGTATGTCGGCGGGCGGATCGGCGGACGGGCGGGCGGGCGTAAACAATTTCTTCTGTGCGCAACTCCTCCTATATTTTTCAACGGATTTTGACCAAACTTTCACAGAAGCTTTGTCATCAAGTGACCTGGGGCATATTATTAGGGTTTTGTGATTGGATAATATTTGACCTAATTATGGCCCTTTGTTTTTTTTCCTTATATAGAATATATAGTGAATAATTTCTTCTGTGCCCAACTGTTCCTACAATTCTCAATGGATTTTGACCAAACTTTCACAGAGGCTTTGTCATCAAGTACCCTGGCGCATATTGTCGGGGTTTTGTGATTGGATAATATTTGACCTAATTATGGCCCTTTGTTTTTTTTCCTTATATAGAATATATAGTGAATAATTTCTTCTGTGCCCAACTGTTCCTACATTTCTCAATGGATTTTGACCAAACTTTCACACAGGCTTTGTCATCAAGTGCCTTAGGGCATATTGTCAGGGTTTTGTGATTGTATAATATTTGACCTAATTATGGCCCTTTGTTTTTTTTCCTTATACAGATTATATAGTGAACAATTTTTACCATGCGCAACTTCTCCTACATTTCTCAACAGATTTTGACCAAACTTTCACAGAAGCTTTGTTATCAAGTGCCCTGGCGCACATTATCAGGGTTTTGTGATTGGATAATATTTGACCTTATTATGGCCCTTTGTTATTTTTCCTTATACAGAATATATAGTGAAAAAATTCTTCTGTGCTGAACTCCTACATTTCTCAACGGATTTTGTTCAAACTTTCACAGAAGCTTTGTCATCCAGTGCCCTGGCACATATTGTCGGGGTTTTGTGATTGAATAATTTTTAGCTCGACTTTTCTATGAAAAGGGGAGCTATCCTACTCGCGTCGGCGTCGGCGTTAGCGTTAGCGTTGGCGTCACACCTTGGTTAAGTTTTTCGTACCACCCCACTTTATTTCAGAAGTATTACAAGTATGGCTTTGAAACTTACCATACTTGTTCACCATCATAACCTCCATCTACAGACAAGAGTACATAACTCTGTCAAGGTTTTTGACAGAATTATGGCCCTTTTTTGACTTAGAAAGTGTATTGAGCTTGGTTAAGTTTTTTGTACCACCTCACTTTATTTCAAAACCATTGGAGGTATTGCTTTGAAACTGACCATACTTGTTTACCATCACGACCTTCATCAACAGACAAGAGGACATAACTCTGTCAAGGTTTTTGACAGAAGTATGCCCCTTTTTGACTTAGAAAATACATTGAATATGGGTAAAATCCACTTATTGCCTTAACCCTTTGAGATATTGCTTTGAAACTTTTAATGCTATTTCACATCATTACCCCCATCTGTACGCAAGAGAAGGTAACTCTGTCAAGGATTTGTTTTAAAAATTAAGGCCTTTTATCGACTTAGAATCTTGGTTAAGTTTTTAGTACCAGTCCACTTTTTGACTGAACTGTTTGAGATATTAATTTGAAAGTTGGAATACTTGTTTACAATCATGATTCCCAAACATGTCCAGGAGAAGGTAATTCTGTCAAAGATTTTATTTGAATTATGGCCCTTAACTGTCAATGTTTTGTATTATAGGCAAGCACTAAAAAAGTCGAGCGCGCTGTCTTACGGACAGCTCTTGTTTATTTAATTATGGCCCTTTGTTTTTTTTCCTTATACAGAATATAATTATAGTGAACACTTCCTCTGTGGCAATTCCTCCTACATTATTCATGTTTTACATTGCACATAGTTACATTGTTTGTTGCTTGTATTTGTATTTCAAATACAACATATTTATCTACAATGGTGATAATTAAAAACCTGGTTTCATGGCATTGCCATGTTTCTTCTTATTTTTGTTGCTTATTCTCAGATATGCTTTTATTTTGTTTTACAGGTTGTATTGAAATGTGATATTAAAAAGGACATTTGTTATACGAAACCAAATCCAAAATTTCACCATTGGCACATTGAGGATAAAAGATTTGGCTTAACATTTGAACGTTACAATGATGCAAAAGCATTTGATAAGGGTATAAGAAAGGCAGTTGCTGACTTAACTGATGGTGAGTATTTTAAACTTTTTACCCACTTGAATTGTAAAGAAATAAATTATGGAAGTCAGTTTTACCACTTTTTCAGCTAGAGCTCTTGTTATTCAGTAACCTTTGTTGTACTCTGCATCATTTTCTCAGTTATAGAATTATCTTTTCGTATTGTACAGCATTTAAATTACATGGCCTATTTAGACATCAAAATGTTGGAAGGTGTGTGGCTTATTTCTCTTTTACAGTTCATGTGTTTGTGTTTTTAGCAGGCATTGTGTTATAACAATGCATCTTAAAATATGAAACCTAAATTTGTTAGTGTGTGATTTAATTTAATATTGGACTCATTTAAATCAGGACTTGTCTATTATACCAATTTAGCATGGCAAGGATAAAGAATTGGTCAGTAAAATGTTAAGTGGTATATTTAATGTTTATATTGCAGATTACCCACACATTGTTATTGAGGTCAAATGGCTATTGTGCTATTAAACTTGAATCATGGCCAACTTTTCATTGAAGCGCTGGGTGTCATGTTCATTCATAAAAATGTAAATTAACATTTACAGTATAATAAAACAGTCCATTGAACTGAGTAAAGAAGCTTCAACATTTCACACACAAAACTTTGTATAGTTGACTATCATATCAATTGCTGTGGCAGGTATTTTGAAACAAGAAATACATTGTTGTATCAAGAGCTATTTTTATGATACAAAATATTTTTATGATACAAAAAAACCCAACAAACAACTGCATATTTGTTCATACATATATTATGTGTCCAAATGGCACTGCATTAATTTTATTTTCAAAGTATCTTTGAATTTAAAATCATATAACAAAATTAAAGTAGCATGCTTATTTTTTCAGAAAATAATAAAAGAACTGCACAGATGTGTAATATTGTTGTCATGTTTACTAATAAATTGAGTATGATATATCTACATTTAGCCTGTTACTTACTTAACAATCTAGGGTATTTAGGTACAATATGGAAAAAACCTTACTACATATATGTAAGTAACAGTGATAGAATTTAAGTAAGTTTTGTCATATTTTGCATAAATATGAATGTTAATACATTTCTTAATGGGTTATTCTTAATTTTTATGTCCTCCTTCTTTGAAGAAGTGGTAGTATATATCTTGGCACATGTTGGTTCCATTAACCCTATTGTTTTTGGAGTCACTAGGTCAAAGGTCAAGGGCACATTTACCTTTAACATCAAAACTGTTTTCGACCAATAACTCAACAATATTATGGCCCTTCGCCCTCAGTACTCTCAGGTCTTAGCCAGTGGATGACCCAGCATTTTTTTTATCCAAAATAGTAGATTGAAGAAACAGTTAAAATAATGGATGCTTCCATATTGATAAATAATATGCGATAAAAACATAGTGCAACCCACATAAGTGATATTTGCTCCAAGTTCATTTTGTATTATTTTAAATTTCACAATTTGAGTGAAAATGATGCATTTACCCCAATTAGTTTGGTATGACACCATTACCAAAGCACGGGAAAAAATCGCCCTTATTGATTTTGGAGTCATAGGTCAAGGTTATAATTTATACACCTTATATGTAAAAATGGTTTCCGAAAAATAACTATAAACCATTGGCCATATGCTCTCATATTTCACAGGTGCATTGGTTTTGGCCAGTAGGTAACACTGATTTTGAGATCAGGGGACCAAAAACTCAATAGTCCAGGCAAAATCAGTACAGCACTGTACCTTCAACCCATCCTAACTCTCACATCGTCATTTTGTGATCATGCAGTTAAAAAAAGCCTTAGTTAAACCAGAAAAAATATTCTTAAAAAATGATTAATTAAAGTTGCCTTTGTTGATCTTTTTGTTAGCTCACCTGTCACAAAGTGACAGGGTGAGCTTTTGTGATCGCTTTTCGTCCGGCGTCCGTCCGTCCGGCGTCCGTCCGTAAACTTTTACTTTAAATGACATCTCCTCATAAACCACTAAGCCAATTTCATCCAAACTTCACAGGAATGTTCCTTTGGTGGTCACCTTTAAAAATTGTTCAAAGAATTTAATTCCATGCAGAACTCTGGTTGCCATGGCAACCAAAAGAAAAAACTTTAAATATCTTCTTTTAAAAAACCCAAAGAGCTAGAGCTTAGATATTTGGCATGAAACATCTTCTAGTGAGTGTCTACCAAGTTTGTTCAAATAAAAGCCCTGGGGTCAAAATTGGTCCCGCCCCAGGGGGTCATTGATTTTCCCTATATGCATATAGTAAAAACTTAAAAAATCTTCTTTTAAAGAACCCATAGAGCTAGAGCTAAGATATTTAGCATGAAACATCTTCTAATGGGTGTCTACCAAGTTTGTTCAAATAAAAGCCCTGGGGTCAAAATTTGCCCCGCCCCAGGGGGTCATTGATTTTCCCTATATGCATAATTATAGTAAAAACTTAAAAAATCTTCTTTTAAAGAACGCAAAGAGCTAGAGCTAAGATATTTAGCATGAAACATGTTCTAATGTGTGTCTACAAAGTTTGTTCAAATAAAAGCTCTGGGGTCAAAATGGCCCGCCCCGGGGGTCATTGATTTTCCTTATATGTGTATAGCAAAAACTTAAAAAATCTTTGAAAAAACCCATATAGCTAGAGTTTAGATATAAAGCATGAAACATTTTCTAGTGAGTGTCTACAAAGTTTTTTCAAATAAAAGCCCTGGGGTCAAAATTGGCCCCGCCCCAGGGGGTCATTGATTTTCCCTATATGCATATAGTAAAAACTTAAAAAATCTTCTTTTAAAGAACCCAAAGAGCTAGAGCTAAGATATTTAGCATGAAACATGTTCTAATGGGTGTCTACAAAGTTTGTTCAAATAAAAGCCCTGGGGTCAAAATTGGCCCCGCCCCGGGGGTCATTGATTTTCCTTATATGTGTATAGCAAAAACTTAAAAATCTTCTTTGAAAAAACCCAAATAGCTAGAGTTTAGATATTAAGAATGAAACATCTTCTAGTAAGTGTCTACAAAGTTTGTTCAAATAAAAGCCCTGGGGTTAAAACTGGCCCCGCCCCAGAGGTGTCATTGTTTTTAACTATATGTGTATAGTAAAAACTTAAAAAATCTTCTTTTAAAAAACCCAATGAGCTAGAGGTTAGATTTTAAGCAGGAAACATCTTTTTGTTGGTGTCTACCAAGTTTGTCCAAATAAAAGCCCTTGGGTTTAAATTGGCCCTGCCAAAGGGGGGGGGGGGCGGAGGTCATTGTTTTTCATTATATGTGTGAAGTAAAAACTTAACATCATGAAACATCTTCTAATGGGTGTCTTCCAAGTTTGCTCAAATAAAAGCCCTGGGGTTTAAACTGGCTCCGCTCCGGGGGCCTATATACAGGTGAGCGACCTCAAGGCCATCATGGCCCTCTTGTTAAACTTACAAAGCTTTTATTAAACATGACCAGTAGGTAATTAATAATCCGTATTGATTTTGGGGTCACTAGATCAATAGTCAAAGTCATTATGACCTGGGTGCATGACTAACAGTACGATTCTGGTCAGCACAGATGTGCTGGCTGGCCTGGCTCTATATTGGTCACAAAAGGCTATTCATTTCTGTTCCCAGCAAATTATGAGTTAAAAGGGAGATTTTTCATAAAATTTACTCCCATGAAGTATTGTATTTTATTCTAGCTGTTTAATGCAACTTTTGAAATATCTATCTCTTACATGAAGGAGATTTGATCATGGGATTTTAATTTTTGATCATTTTAAAATGAGGAGACAATTTTTTTAGTCAGAATGAATGGTTTTTTTTTTATAAATTTATTTTCAGTTCATTATTAACACATTATTAATACTTTTAAAATATATGTATAATATATCTAAAAGACAAATTATTTCAGGTAACATAGATAAGTGTTATTCAGAAAGTGTTATTCAAAGATGTAAATGTGAACAGTTATGAATGATGAGCCTTCAGATAGCTGTGCACTATGCATGTTTGATGAATGCTTGTTTCCGGTAGAAATAATGAAATGTGTACCAACAGTCATGCTTTTGTTATATTAATATTTCAAGCTGAACTAAATCTTAATTATGATGCAATGAACAATCTTGTAATGTAATTTCTTAACTGAATATACATCTTTCATGTTTTGGAAAGATTTATACAAAAAGTGAAATTCTTTGACTTTTAGCTACTCAGTCATGTTAAATCTTCAACAAAGTCCATTAATTGTTTCTAAAACATACAGCAAGTTATTACCTCGATAATTAAAAGAACTATTGCTACAGTCATGGTGTCTTCACATTTCTGTTACCTTTGACGATGCCAATGTTGTTTCTGCCTGAAAACTTTAATGTTGGAAGTAAGTTTTGTGCCCCCACTATAGGGGGCGGGGGCATTTAGATTTGCCCTTGTCTGTCCGTCCTAACATGTGTGTTCTCATGTTGTGTCACATGTAGCTCTAAAAGTGCATAAGCTAGAGTCAACAAACTTAACAGGAATGTTGAATATCATGTGAAGTTGTGCACCTTGAAATTTGTTTGTGAAATAATTCAGTTTTGTCAGAGTTACTGCCCTTAACTTCGTAAAAATTGGCAAAATTCAATTTTTGTTGTGCATAGCTCAAAAAGTATTTGACCTAGAGTCATGAAACTTTACAGGAAAATGTTGGTCAGCATGTGTACTTATGCACCTTTTGCTTGTTGATTTATTCAGTATTTGTACCGAGTTATTGCCTTTGACTTAGTATTTCAACTGGTGTCATGTTTAGCTCAAAAAGATTTTTACCTAGAGTCCTAAAAGTTTACAGAAATGTTGGTCAGCTTGTGTTGTTATGCACCTGGGAGTTTACTTGTGGATTTATTCAGTTTTTGTAGAGTTTTTGCTCTTGACTTAGTAAATGATTTGCACCTGGGAGTTTACTTGTGGATTTATTCAGTTTTTGTAGAGTTTTTGCTCTTGACTTAGTAAATGATTTGCAATTTTCAACTTGTGTCGCTCGTAGCCAGCACTTGGAGTATGGGAGCATTTGTGTGCTATGGACACATTTCTAGTTTTTTCTTTAATTTTCTTCTTAAAGATTTGTTTAAACCGTTCATTTCTTTTCTAAAAAGAAATAGTGAAAAATGTTGAGACTTCCTGTCTGGCGGTGGCTCTTGTTTTGATTTACTGCTGCTCTATTTTTTCCCTGCAGAAAGTCACAGGTTGTATTGAAAATTGAAAAAAAATCACTGACCATCAAAGTCAAATATTGAATTCAGCTTAGATGAGACACATGTGATCACTAATCGCTCTTGTATTCTGTATTGCATCTGTCCATTATTTTACACATAAAATAATATAATGTATTGTGCATAAAAGTTAATTATTGTCACATATTGTAGACATAAAATGGTCTATATCTTAAAGAAAGTAATAAACACAGCTTGTTTGATAACAGATAACTTGTCATATTGAAAATATTTATACATGTACATTGTATATTTTTTCACTTTTTAGAAGATACCTTTTATAGTAGCATGTGAAAATCCTGAATTCATTCAGTTTGATTACAATATTATATGAATTTAATATGATGCAGAGTACAACTACATTGTAGAAATTTTAGTAATATATTTTATGTCATTACAGTGTTGCATCTAGGCTGCGCGATTTGCGCATATTTTATGCAGATCGCGCATTTTAATTAAATCAATGAGCGCCAAGTCGAGCATTTGATGATCTTTTCAATTTAATTCAGTTTATCTTCATTGTATCTTGAACGCTTCAGCCATGTTTGTTTTGACTCGTGGTAATGACTAAAATACGTACTAAATCGCGTGTAGCAGCAGACTATGGGGTCATCTCGGGTGTGTATTGTAGTATTCGTCAATATTTTATTTTTCCAATTTCTGTTGTTGAGCGGACGCTAGCTGTCAAAAAAGCTTGAACGTAAAATAAATGAATTCTTTTCGGTACGTCATATTGTAAGGTAAATGTGTCCCCCACATTGTTTTCAAATCCCCCACATTTTTCAGTTGAGTGGGGGACAATCCCCCATGTTTTTGAAATTCTAGATGCAACACTGTGTCATTATTAACATTGTATAAAACTGATTTACCATAATTATGAATTGCTAACTAACGTTTCTGTCTTTGTCTTTGTTTTTCTCTGTGCTGCTTGGATTTTGATGTTAATCTTGGTAAGTTTGGTACACTGTTCTTGATACCAAGGAACCACAGCAACCCTCAGATGGTAATTTATTTTCTTTTTGGTAAACTTTTTTTGGTGTTTTGTGATCTTCCCTGCCATTTGGCTTTTTGTTACTTGACCTTAATGGATTTGTCTAGGTTTGACTCCTTACATACTTGAGAAATTTTTTCACATCATAATACAGTAGAACTTTAGTAAGTCAAAGTTGAAGGGACTTGGGTTAAATCTTCAAACATTGGGACTTATGTACATACAAACAATACAATCGAAAAACTTTGACATATTTATAGTCAGATGCACACAAATATATCAGCTAGACAAATGAAATAATTTGGCACATAAAAGAAAATGCTAACCTCAGTATAAAGCTTATAAGCATATTTTGCCTGATCATATATTTTTATCCCCCCCACCCCGCCATAAAATGGCTTGGGCATATAGTGTTACCCAGTTCCGTCATACCGTCATTCTGTCATCATCAGTTTCTGTTCATTATCTTAGTTATGCCCCTTTCAATTTGAAAAAAAAAGAAGAAGAAGAAATTTTCAGTTACCTTCATTATCTCCCTAACGGTTTAACGGTTGTACAAAATTATTCAACTCAAATTTAAGATATGGATATGTCATAAGAATACACTGGTCTTCTTTGAATTTGGTCATGGTTTGATGATAACTGACAGAGTAAACCCTCTTGAACTTTGAAAAAAATCAGAAATTTTTAGTTTCTGTTCATTATCTCCCCAATCCTCCATTGAACTTATATTTTTTTCGAGAGAAAGCTGTAGAGTTAGCTTACTGAATGTGGATGGTTCTCATGAAGTGAAGAGACCTGAGGTTTTCCCCCAATCCCATGAGGCTTAGATTATGACCATAAAACCTTAGCAGTTTATATTACAAAACTGTATTGTCAAAACAAAAAGGGGAAATATCCATCAGATCTAATAATTGAAATTGCATCACAATAAGACTTATTCATCTTCTGAAACCTGATTTAATGTATTTAAATATTGATATTCACATTTTTGCCTAAAAGTTCTATTTATTTAACACGATGGTATAAATATAATATAATGATTTTATGATATTTAACTTCACAAGTCATGTAATTTTATGCCAGCACGGATTAAAAGTTCTTTGATTCATAACAACAAATCAGTATTAATTAAACATAACATGTAAACTATTAATTGAATCTTTTTGCTTTTCTTAAAATTTTAAAACATTTTTCTCAAGTTTGATTTTCTTAAAATATCTTGGCTCATTAGGAGGCATGCAACTTTAATTAAGCTGATGAAATATACAACAATCCTTCAATTACAAAACAATGGTAATGTATGATATTGAATGAAAACAATACATGTACCTTGAATGAAAATTCATGTTTATTAACATACTAATTTTGACCTTGTAATTATCTTGCATTTATCTAGTCATAGCCACTTGAGACCATTGAAAATATTAATCATTTTATTATGAATAATTTAATGAATGGAACATATGTCTCAGCCACCTGGTAGACTGTTTATATATATCATGTTGTTTTTGTTGCTACATCCTGTTGTATGAATAATGTGAAGGCTTGGCTCAGTTAAGGGTATTGAAATTATATTGTATATCAGACCAATGACAAATTGGTAATGTTGAGTAATGTAATTACCTTGGTAATGTAATTGGTAATAAAGTAGAAGTTGTAATTGTTCTTGCATCATGATAGTGCAAAACTGATTTTTTTTAACTGTTTTATAGGTACCTTGAATACTAATAACTTTTTGTAAGAATTTTTACCTCATATGTTTTGGAAAAAAAATAGCTATTGCTACAGATATGGTGTCGTTGACATTGCCATTGCCCTCCACAAACTTTTTAACGTTGGTCAATTTTTTTATTTTCCTCATAGGATTGCCTTTATACTTTGACACAACAACCATTTGGACAAGATCATCAAGTTGACCAGTCTGAACTTGACCATCAATCTTAAATGACCTTGACCTTAAAGTTCAAATGTTTGAATTTTGCCTGATTTTAGCTATAATTAGCTATAACTTTCGTGTTTATCAATGAATTGTCTTCATACTTGAGCACAACTACCTTAAGGACAATGTCTTAAAGAAGATAAAATTCAGTTCAATCTTGAGTCCTAAATGCCATTGACCTTGCAGGTCAAATGATAGTAATTTCAAGCTTTTTGCTTTAATTGGCTATAACTTTGTAAGACATAAATGTGTTGTCATTATACTTGGGAACAACAATCCTTGGGACAAAGCATCTGAAATTTAATTGAACTTGACCTGACATTTGAATTTGACACTAACTGACAAATTAGTGAATTTCTTAACAATTGGCCATATCTATTTATTTATGTACAAATTTGATTTATACTTTGGACAAAAAAAAACAACAAAAAACAATATGACAAAACTGATATTTTGAATTATTCTATAGTGACCTTAGCCTTTGAAAGACATTTACTGTCAAGGTCAAATTATTGAAATTTGCTTACATTGTCACAACTTTGTTATTTATTTATAGATTTTATTCATTTTTGGACAAAAGAACACTTATGATAAAATTGACATGATGATTTATTCAGATGTGACCTTGACATTTTAATGACCTTGACCAGCATTGTCAAATTTGGTCAACTCAGTTATGCCACACCAGCCTTTGTCAGCAAAATTGTGGCAGGTTTAGCCCATAAATCCTGGAATCAGGAGAGATTAGTGACTTGATTAGCCTATGCCACCAGTCCCTGCAGTCTGACTGGGCTCTCTTATAGGGTTGTCCAAATTTTAGTTTCGCGTTTTAAAGAAAAGCTGAGCTATTGACCCACTTGGTGTTGTCGGCATAGATCAACCTTTTGGTTAAGTTATAATTATGGTCATAAACTTCATTGCTAACGAGACTATTACCGTTTAAATATCTAGCACTGATAAAGTGCAGTTTCTGTTCCTTTAACAGCTTGTTATATTTTGATATGGAAATACCTTATTTTCCTTATGGACTGTTACAAGTTTAAAGCAGGTTAGCCCTGTATATCTATGTCATCTATCGTCTCGGATGAAAAACCAGGTCACAGGAGCTAAAAAAAGAAAAACCTTGTTAACACTCTAGCGGTCACATTTTTGCCTCAATCATCATCAAACTTGGTCAGGATGCTTGTCTAGGTGATAGCTTGTTGAGTTTGATCATGGGTCATCTTGGATGAAAAACTAGGTCACCGGAGCTAAAAATAGAAAAACCTTTTTAACACTCTAGTGGTCACATTTTTTTACTCAAGTGTCATCAAACTTGATCAGGATGCTTGTCTAGGTAATTGCACAAATGAGTTCGAACATGGGTCATCTCGGTTGAAAAACTAGGTCACAGTAGCTAGAAATAGAAAAACCTTGTTAACACTCTAGTGGTCACATTTTTGACTCAATTGTCATCAAACTTGGTCAGGATGCTTGTCTAGGTAATTGCTTGGATATTTTCAAACATGGGTCATCTCGGATGAAAAACTAGGTCACAGGAGCTAAAAACAGAAAAATCTTGTTAACACTCTAGTGGCTACTGTTTTCCACTGAATATCCTGTAAATTGGTCTGAAAGTTTGTTTTGATGATTTCTAGGTTAAGTTCTAACATGGGTCATCTCGGATGAAAAACTAGGTCACACCGCCCAAATATGGAAAAACCTTGTTAACACTCTAGTGGTCACATTTTTGACTCAATTATCATCAAACTTGGTCAGGATGCTTGTCTAGGTAATTGCTCAAATGAGTTCGAACATAGGTTATCTCGCATGAACAACTAGATCACCGGAGCTAAATAGAAAAATCTTGTTAACACTAGTGGCTACTGTTTTGATCCAAGTATCCTGGAAATTGGTCTGAAAGTTTGTTTTGATGATTTCTAGGTCAAGTTTGAATATGGGTCACCTGGGTAAAAACTAGGTCACACTGCTCAAATATGGATAATCCTAGTTAACACTCTAGTGGTCACATTTTTGACTCACCTGTCCTGAAACTTAGTCAGAATGCTTGTCTAGGTAATTGTTCGGATGAGTTCGATGGGTCAGGTGAGCGATCTAGGGCCATCATGACCCTCTTGTTTAACTAATCAGGTTCATATCAATATACATTGTAAACTAGGATCGATATGTTAATTAACTTTACAGGCACAGACATTACATCATTCAGCAGCACTCCCTCCTTAATATTTACATGTTACGATGTACCATACTAAAGTTGTGTAATATACTTGTCTTAATTTTAAATTTCTATTATTAGTTGAATGGATGGTAAAGTACTATAATCTAGAAGAGAACATTAGAGAGTCTGGTGGCATAGAGTTGTTATTATCATGGCTACCACTACTCCTACCTGAGAGTAAAAACGTGATTTCATAACTGAGATACCTTTTGATTTTATATATAATTATTGATAAAACCTTAATAATGATGATTATCCAAACAGATTATAAAAACAGTGAATCATATGCAGTTAATTTCTGCAGTTTACATGCATGATTAAAGAGCATCTGTGTTGTAAAATTGGGCCAAACCCTTCTTTTGCAGATAATTATAATAATGATGATGATAATTATATGTTTTCAGTGGTTATCTGAAAACAAAATCCTATTCTTAAAGACAGGATTGGAAATGTTTATTTTTATGTGTAGATATCTCAACTGTCAGTCTTGTTATTTAAAGTAGTAATGTAATATTGTAGATTCTATTTATTGTACTTTGTGATGTAACATCCTATTTTTGTGTGAGTAGGACAACAGCTTCTAGCACTTTAACTTAATTCATTCTCATTGACAAGTTCCAATAATTCTGGTACGCGAGTAGTTCCCATACAAAAATGGTAGTTACTTAAAAACTTTTTTTAATTCACTCACTGACCAAATAATTGATTGTTACACATGCATATGACTCGTCACACAAATCATGGAAGTCTGTGTATGTTCTAAACATAGAATAACCGTTAGTTATGAAACCTGATATGGGATATCGAAATTACCTATTTTATATACAGAGAAGTAGTTCCATACATAAAAGT